ATCTTAAAAGTCGAAATTACCAATAGTTGTCAATTTGTATTGTATAGTCACCAGTGTCGACTGTGTAATGTGTTTTACTGAATTTACCGTAAATTATTTTAAATAATGTGTCACCTCTATTGTTGACTACGTTTGTCGATATCCATTTATCGTTTAGTGATTACTGCCGGTGTCTGAACATTTCGGCAAGATTATTACTAAAGACCGAAAACCCACGAGATAAGTAAGGTCTGCCTTGTCTAACTATAGGTTTTAAAAAAGCTAAGCATTGTCATTACTGCATAACTTTTTTTTTTTTAAAATGGATGATGATAATGATTTAATAATGCAATTGTTTGCTATCGAAGAGTTGGAACAAAGAGAACTTGACGGAGAAGTAACTAGGCGAACTTATGCGCCTATTGATCCTTTTGAATGTAAGTACACAGATTTAATATTTTATGTTACTATTAAAATAGTTATTTTATTACTAAAATAAAATATGTCTATATATATATTTTAACAATTTGCTGTCATTACTACATACCCATAATTATTAGCATGCAAGACTGTTTGGAGAAGAATAAAAAAATACAAATTAATTCGAAAATTTCTAATCTATAAATACTAATATTTAGTAAGTACAACTTTCTAAGTTAGTTCTTCCTACCAATAATTTTCATAAAATAGTAATAAAGTCTTAGATAATTATAATTTTGTATTATTTTTATATATTGTAATTAATTATCAACTAAAAAATATTTTTAATACAATATAATGAACATAAATCAGAACCAAACAACCAAATAAATGATTTATTAAAATTCAAACATTACATTAGTGTACTATAGAATGTTGATAAAGTGCATTTTGTACTAAATATATAGACTATATTTTATAAAGTATACATTTAACTAAATTTAATTTTACTATTTAGAGTAATCATAAATATTTAGAAATAATATAAATAGTAAACCAATTGTATATTTAAATATTTGACAGGATTTTAGACTAGATAATATAATAATTCAGGTAATATAACGTAATTCGTATACGAATGCGTAAGAGAATAGAAAGAGTAATAGAAAACGCAATTTCAAGAATACAGTTTTTAAAAAACCAGTAGAAAGTCACATTTCGTATACGAAATGGTAGTAGAAAATTTTCAAGAATAGACCCCCTGCCGTTTTAACGCAATATTCTAATAAATTATTATATTAGAAATACAATACTTGTGGTTTATACAATTCAAGTACATAAAGCAGAGGCTTTCAACCCCATAGCCCCATAGCCCTCTTGTTTCTAATCCTGTTGACAAGTCAGTGACAAGAAGGTTATTGTTACTTGTTAGATCAATATGTATATCAAAATAGGTACTAGTGACTTGTTTAATATTACTAAATAAAACCAAAACCAAAGGTAAATGCCATTGCATAATTTTCTAAATAAATAAAGTGCTATGTGTTTGTCGAACAACGTCTGCAGTGCGTTAAAAAGTTCAATTAATTTTACAATAGTTGTTTTTCATCGACGATTTCGCTACCAATTTATTTTGAATGATTTTTTTTTTTTCACTGAACTCAAATCTGGTATCGTGGTTTGTGCAGCGCTTTTAGGTTTATTTAATTTTTGTTATTCGCTTGAAAAATTATTTTTAAAGAAACACGGACGTGCGCTATTTTCTACTTTGCGAGTAAACTAAAAAAAAAATCACAAATTGGCGACGCAAAAAAATTGCGACACGATTAGGGTAGCACACCTGTTGAATTGATTTATTATTTTATAGTCGCCACATTTATATACAGCACACATCCATTTCCTTATTTCATGCAACAATATATTACTTGAGTCTCTCAAGAAAGCAATGAGAGGCAAGCATTTTCGAGATTTACGTTCATTAATAGATAGAATTTTGTTTTTTAAGATTAATATTTAATTATTGTTATTAATTTAATGTTTAAAAAAAACCACAGACCTGTCTTTTAATTAATTGGTAAAATTTAAACAAAGTATGTAAGGTCAAAATTGTTTTGTCTTAAAATGTTGGCACTAGCAACGGATAAAGTATTGATAAAATAAAATAAAATTTAAAAACAATGTATTAAATTTGTTTTGAAAATTTGGTAAAGAAAATGTTGGTTTTTTTCAGTTTAAAATAAATAATTTAGCTTTAAGAAAAGAAAAAAATTAATCTTCATTATGAACTTTTTTTTTTAATGTTTTTATTCAAAATTAAGAGTGTAAGTGAAAATTACTGAGATATATTTAATTTAGCTTTTCCACTATGTTAAACCCAAATATTCAAATTTAAATATTACAAAAAAACTATCTTCAAACCCTTTGACAACTGATATAATTGTATTATTATTTATAATTTTATTTTATATATATAATACTCATTATATTTCCATTTAATACACATTTGTTTTTAATTTTATTAAGTTTGCTGTATAAAAAAAAAACTCTTTACAAAATGAGCCTTTTAATACATTTTGAGAATCCCATTAAAATGATAAATGTCTTTATCCTAGTCCCGCGCTATAATTAAAAACACACACACACACACTAAAAAGACAAATTCAAAATTATAATCGTATTACAAAATTGTCCATACTTACAGCTACTTATAATATACCCATGTCATTAGTTGATGTTTTAGCTTAGCGGGCAACATCACTGTTACGGTTTTTTTTTTTTATTTACCTTGTCCTAAGCAAACATGTTCGGTCACTATTACCTACTCAATACACTTTGCTTATTCTGTGTTTCTCTCTTTTCTTTTTTTGGTATCTACTCCATCTGATGTTTTCATCTTGGTCATATGTAGAATTTCAAATTACATTTTTTGTAAACTCATACTTAATTTTTGCCAGCAACATAAAATAATATTCTAAAACGTTGTTTTCGAAAATATGAAAACCTTCTCAATCCGAGAGACAACTTATTAGTAATAAGACAATGGTAATTTTGAATACCTTCTACCGACATTTTGTTTGCAGACCTTTTCATTGCCTTCGGATGTTTTCGTTATTACTTTACAGTTATGTTTTGTTCTGAATGTTTTTTGTTTTTAAAGCGTTAAATATTTTTTTATTTAATTATCACTGCTTACGTCTCTGTCCCGTCAACGGTCGCCCGGTCTTCCATGTTTTCGTTTAATTAATTATTTCAAAAATTCGTCTTAAGAATACAGGGTGACCACTTAACGCGAGACGCTCATTCTCGGTAAATAATTATTACAACTTTGTAGTTTTTCCCTTGGACACATTTTCAATTATGTTATATTATAAAATTACCCATTGGCATAACTAGAAGAGGCCTAGGGGAGTTCTTAAAATCCTTGTAAACTTGTTTCATAGAAGTTTGTCAGTAACCAATCAAGCACAGTGCCAAGTAAGTTTTGTAGTTTTTACTAAAATCTACAGGGAGCTTTGAAGCGTCCAAAAGCTGTCGATTCTGATTATTTTTCATTTTATTTCCAAGTATTACGGCAAGTGAATCGAATCGATTACTGAACGTAAATTACTTATTAATATGTTGATTTTAACTTAATAACTGTTTGCATTTAGCTTTGAATACAATGAATCCGATGAATAATACATATTATTAACTAATTACCGACTGATTAATAATTCAGGAAAGAAAAACAAAATGCTTTAATATATTAATTCAATTATTATAGCTTGTAAAACTTTGGAAATTGTTCATTTAATGTAGTTTATTTATAAACGTTAAAGTGCCATAGTGATGTTTTTATGTGTACCATATTGAACTGATCCCGCCTCGACTATAATTTAAATCAATCATAGTTACATGCGTGTCAATTCAAATATATTTTGTTTCTAATAATGCACACAAAAATAAAAACCACCATTATTTCTTTTAGTTTCCAAGAGGTACAGGTAAAATATGTTTTAAATTCTTGGCTTTGTGAAGTACCTTCGGCACACGGTTTATGGCGTTTAGACTTGCTACACAAAGAAAGCGGTGTAGCGTTAAACAAAATGAATAGCTGTTGGTACGGACATTAAAGAAAATGGGTTTTAAAAAAAAAAAACACACTATTAAAAACCAATTTTTCAGCTCTATCAAACCAGGAAGTACATATAGTCGGTATATATTAAAAACAATATTATTACGAAGCAATTAAAACATTGATATTCGTGTATTCGTGAACTCATTGAAAAACATGCACAAGTAATTACAAAATTAAAAAACAACATTGACCTTTTTAAAACAACCCATTTCCATTTTTCACAAGCTAACAATGGCTACAAAAACAATATCTAACACTTAAACACTTAAACTTATCAAGAACAATACAAAATAATAGCAAATTAATGTAAGTATTGATTTAAAATTATTTCCACCACACGAACCATTCCAAATCGAATCCACACTAACTCTACCTTTTCTATATTGTCACTGTTATGAGAACATACCAAAACTATGAGCACATATTTTATCATAAATATTGTTAAAATTATTTAAAAACATGCAAAGCAAATTACTTTATCTAACTCGCAAGCACACGTTATATGTTGACAAACTTGCTTTTAATAAATAAATAAAAATTATGTTCTTTAGTCATGTTGAAAAGTATTTGATATCAACCGTTATTTGTTGCTGGGCGGATAAAAATGATGTATATTATATTTTTTAACAAATTCTGCTTTTTTTTTTTTTAAATCGGAGACCTTAAGTATACATAGAGAGTTGGAGACAAAATACTAAGTAATTGATTGTCACGAATATTTTTCAAAAACAATTTTCACTGCTTGTAAAAAAAAATTGATATTTTTTTTCGGTGAATGTGTTTTTTTTTTTTTGTAAACGTTTATTTTTCCACATTTACCATAATATCATGTTTTATGTGTACATTAAAACGATCCCGTCTCGACTGTATGTATGGTGTACTTGACAAGACGTGCAATTTGATGGAGGACATGCGCCTGGGCTTAGCGTGCTCGTACTTAGGGGTTGTACGTGGACTTTGGGTTTAGTACGCCGTTCGCCAATCCGCCAGCGAAACGTATACCGCCGGTCCGCTGCTCGAAGTCGTTACTTTTGCAAGTGCGAATCTATTTCCCATAACGAAACTGTTAATTTTTTTTTTGCCCCTTCAAAAGCCATGCACAAAGCCCGAAATTTGTTCGTTCAAATAACTAATATTCGACGTTGAACGGCCGGGAGTTGTTCACCAAGGTAAACCGATAGTTTTTAATTAAACATAATACACATAATATATGTACACATACATTCAACGTTGGTAACTTTGGTTACACATAATTACACAATTTAACCCTTAACTTGGCGTTGTACCTTCAAAGACATCTACATATATTAGACACATAAATTTCCACGACTGACCTATAAATTAGTATTATTGTAATTATTGTTTTCGATATTTAAAAATTGAAACGCTCAATAGATTATGGGCCCAATTTCAAATTTTTGTTTTTTTTTCAGAAGACTTAAAAAATTCCTCAGGTTAAATTAAAATTAAAAATTTTATATTTTATAAATAAAATCAACCCGTTCAAATGGTAATAAATCAGGTGAAATTATAAAACTAAAACAAAAAATTGACTTAGAAAAATTGGGCTTTGTTTTAATAGACGTCTCCAATTAGCGTTCAAAAAATTAGGGTTGATTAAAATCAACACATACCAAATTCACATACAAAAATACATAATATAAAACACACTAATAAAAAATTTAAATAATCCAAAAAAATAAGTACAGACGTTTCAATTTAATTAATTTACGGCACAACACTGGTATTGTCTTTTGTAAAAAAAAAAATATATATATTTTATATATATATTTACATTTGACATTTATTATTATTTGTTTTGTTTTTTTCAACAACAACGTTACACCGTTTAAGCCGTACTTTCCAAATGCACAGAGCGGAAAACCGTTTTCGAAAATTACCGGTCTTAACAATTTATGGTACTCATTTTTACACAACAAACAACCGGACATCAGTCATATTATGAGGCATTTTTTTTTCTTCCTTTGGCAATCTATTTCGAAATCGTTATACAAGCGGTTTTTGTTTGTACTACTTCTGCAAAAGAAATATATATATATATTATGATTAAGTATTGGGAATTATATATTAAGTAACGTCTCTTCGAACCGATATTATTGTCCTAAAGGTTATTTGTAATACTTGTTAGCCGTCTTAGAAAACGGTAAAACTTATTCTGACATGGCAGACAACTCGACGGATTTCTCTATTTAGTGATGTACAATGTAATAATACTGAAGAACTCAACGATATCTATTTTAGAAGTATGATAAAAAATCTAAGGTGACTTAAATAATCGAAAAAAGTAGACATCTCAAACGACAATACATAATATTATAATAATATGTCGACATAATAATTATTATTATGTAAGACGGTGATTATTACAAGTACAGGGTCCGGCAGTGAAACGGTATGATTTCAATACTTAATTACTATTTAATGAATGAATAAATTTTAATTTTAATAAATATGTAACTCTTATACTTTATATTTATATTTATTAAAATTAAAATTTATTCATTCATTAAATAGTAGTTAAGTAATGAAATCATCCCGTTTCACTGCCGGACCCTGTATTTATAGATTTTTCATATAGACTATTTAAATAGTTATTACCGACACCGAAGTAGCGATATTGCCTATACGAAACGCCGCCATTGGATATTTTATACTTAAGACTTCCAGTCGCCAATCTTTGTGTAAACTGTTGTATTATGCAAATCCAGTACATAGCTATATATTATGTAATTAAATAGTCCAAAAAAAATGAAACCGAAAATAAAAAAACGGTTTTGGATTCCGGGTAATCACAAACCGGGCATGTGGTTTTCAACCAACGGCGGTACATTAAAATTAGAGGGGTTTTTTTTTAATACTAGTAAAAATTAATGGTGGTTTTCAGTTTTATATTATGGGCCGCGAATAAAAGGGTTAAAACTTGTCAAATTGACTTGATCCCTCGAAATTGTTCGCTTACAAAAAACAAAAATATTACTTATAACTGGAAGAGTTGATCTATGTTTACTTTGATTGATAGCCAAAATGAATTTTAACCTAAAACTTCGGGGCAAACGAACATATATCAATATATATATATATATATATATATATATATATATATATGTGTGTATATAGTATTAGGTCGAACCGTGGGTTTTATGTAATATATATAGTACGGTTTTGTTGAAAAATGTATAGCGCTAAAAGGTTCCGACAATAGCAGATTAAGTTTAAGCTTTCATCTGTAGTGTGATATCGCTTCATAAATTTAAATACCATAAACCGGATATAGCTGTATCTTCTATTGCCTAAACGGTGAATATTAATTACCCTTTTAGGTACAGCCTGTTGTGTATTCCCAGATTTGTATAGCACTGATAGCGTGGAAATCGTGTACTCAAAGCATTAGGATTAGTCAAGTTAGTACGGGCCATATTTGACTGTTTAAACGGCGAGCGATATAATAATAATTATGTTTATCTTTTTAGCCTCTCTTAAATCATCATCTTCATAGTTTAAACGAGATCTGGACGGAGCCCAAAGAATGGTTCCAATAATTTACAAAAGGGTTTTGCATTTCTCAGTACAAGGCTTGCTTTTATTAATATTACATAAATCATCTCGGCAACAGCCCCCCCCCCCCCCGAAAACCTTTAAACAATATTTTTTATTGTACAAAATGCAAAACTCGTGTCGAATATTTATGTGGCAAATCGTTTCGACGTTTAAGTTGTTGTTTTACAAAACAATCACAATGAATTCATTTAAATACAAATCATTTGTCGATTTCAAGTCACGGCAAACATATTTTATTTTTGAAACAGATTTTCCCCAGGCTGGTTATCCTTTTAAAACAATTTCGTGTGCGGTGTCAGCTTTGAAAAATGTCCGGGTTAAAAGTAGTATAGTTTCTGAGAAGATTTTCAAAAGCACATGGCATAAAGTATATGAAAAACGTTTTGGACCTGGTCTAAAAAGCCTGCTGTCTTACGATGCAATTGATGTAATCTCGTTTTTTTTTAGGGATTTTTTAGATTGTTGTATTGCAAAGATTCTACTGAAAAATATAAACAATACTTTCACACAACTATAATACAGCGTTGTGTGTTTGGCAGCAATTATTTTTAAACAATAAATAATAAAACAAAATATAGTTTCTAAATTATTTTCATATTAAACAATAATATACGCGTTGGGAGTTGATTTTGTTTCGATAAAACATATTTATTACATATTTTCCTAGATTGACATTTTGGAAGTGATGTGAAAATGTGGCAAGTGGGGAAAAAAAAAAAAATTAATTAAATTGCGAATGGCCGTAAGCTTGTCGTCGTGTGAAACGAATTTATTTGCCAATATAGTTTCGAAAAATCAATTAAGTTTGAATTGAATAAGCGCACTTTTGTCGATTATACTCTAACTAACAGCTGTGAAAAGTCCAGTACTTACACAATTATTTCCGCTTTGATAATTGCTTACACCGTGTGATATTATACTTGTTGTAGGGCTCGTCCTCTATATTCAGCATTGTACACGCTATTGATTAAAAAAGGCGGTAAAAAAACAAAAACAAAGTTGGAGAAACAAAGTGATTGAAAAAATAAAAAAAAATGACAATGCAAGGGCGTGTTGTAATAAATTTCGAAGGATATATTATATGAATGAAAATAACGCTTTGCCCTGGCCAGAGGCGTTGTAATAATATATTGTTTACACGGGCTTTTATGTTCAGCGAACACCACTGCTGCATACCGGAACCATCTCGGCCGCCCACCACGGGTTTTTCCAACAATAAGCAATTTGCAGCTTTAAATATGCCCCTACACAAATCAGTAGCCTAACCAGTTAACTATTTCCTTCTGGACGTACACTCCACCCTCGCGCCCTGCCCTAAACTTGAAACTTCAATAACTCCAAAAACGAAATACAGTTCAAATTAAAGAAATACATATGTGTTTATTTACATGTACAGGGTGTCACGGAAAGTTATACCGAGCTTCAAATGAGGACAGTTAGGATGTTTCAGATTTGAAATCGGGAGAAAAAATCTTGTTGAATTGACATGTAACATGATTTTTTGGTATCTGGCCACCGAGTGGCCACTGAGTGGCCGGCATGTGACTAAAACCAACATATGGCATGCGACACATGATTTAATATAAAATAATACTAAGAGCACCACTGAATTGAGAGTAAAATTCTAACCCAAAATGATGTGTCACCGTTCATAAGTTGGTTTTGGTCATATGCCGGCCACTTAGTGGCCACTCGGTGGACGCATGTGTGACCAGATACCAAAAATCATGTTACATATCAATTCAACAAGACTTTTTCTCCCGATTTCAAATTTGAAATTATTTTTTAATGAGATTCGAGTTCTATTTTCAATAATTTAAAAATGTTAAAAAAATGAATACCATTTATTGTACCCATAGAGCATCCTAAATGTCTCATTTGAAGCTCGGTGGAACTTTCCGTGACACCCTGTATATATATATATTTATTAAAAATAAAAATGTGTTTATTTACATGGTAAAATGGACTGCAATTTGAAATTTAATGAAAGACATTGTTATGCAGCACTATTAGTATTAAAGCTGCTCGGACCAACACGGTAGGTACTGATATTGAACAATATTTACAGAATGTAAACGAAAAGTGTGTACATAAAAGATTAACAAAAGGTTGTTTCGAGCAAAAACAGCTAAAAGCTTGTATAAAAAAAAACAAACTTAAATGAGTCGTTTATTATGAGCCATTCTCATTTATTATGTGCTTCCTGGGTACAACATGAAACGTTGTACTTGTTCTATTTGCTCTTTACTTTTGCACATTGTGACTTTCGTTCAATAGTACTCGGTCTTTATGCACTATAAGCGCCGCCGTCGTACAGGCCAATCCTATTTTCTTGTTGTTGCTTTTGGATGACGGCCAAAAACGTTCAATCGAGACCACAAATGTAAAATAGTCGAAAAACACTAATAGCGATTTTAACAAAAAATAAAAACCAAAAACCAAATAACACATAAGTGCATAAAGAAGTTGGCGAAAATCGAGTCGGAGCATTTTTTTTCGTACTTTAACATAATTAAACCTTTCGATGCGAATTACACTAAAGCGAAGAGGGTTTAGTCTACATTATATGAGATAAATTTGTTTAAATAAG